TACAGATGGCTTATATCATCTAGTTTTCACTGGAAACCCTATGTATGAGTGCTCATTGAAAGACAGCCTATATTTCATGATGTAAGCCATAGTCTGTACGGGGTATAAGTCTTTATTACGACTGTCTTGCGCCTGTTCCGACAATAACACTCGAATGACAGTTAAAAAATGGCAATCATGGGTTGCTTTGGCATGTCAAAAACAAACACCCAAAACATGGTGGGTGGTTAGTTAATAAAACATTGGTCAGGGTGCTGTTAATAAAACATTGGTCAGCTCACATGGATACAACGGGATACAAATGACTACTAGATGAAATGATAGTATTTTCACTATAGCTTGAAATTTGGCTATTTTTGAGCTGATATTGCCTATAACATTTTCTGTTTTGCAGATAGAACCTTTTTGTCTTAAGCAAAGTTGTGTATTTTATTGATTATTAAAAAGTTGCAGAACATTATAGTCATCTAAAACAAATAATTTCGGAAATATTTCCAAAAAACGGATTTTTGAGGCCCTTCTATAAAAAACGCTTCATAACTCAAAATTGCAAGCAGATAGAGACATGGCGTCTTGTACAAAGTTTTTAGTTATGAAGCATCCTACAACTTAGCACAAAACTTTATATCTCTATCTGGTCAAACTAAAAAGTTAGATTTTGCAGCGCCACCTGTGGTGAAGTTTCAAATTAAAACTTTACTTCATTCAATGGGTCTTGTCATTTATAAGAACTCTTTTCAAGACACTCTATTGAAAAAACCACTGTAAAAGGTGCAAATGAAAAAAAGTTCAGGGATTTGGCCTTTTGCACCACTGTGTGCAGTAGTCTAAAAATTCATGGCATGAGCAATAAAACGTGAAAGCTATTTTAGATTACAAGAGGACACAGTCTGCTGGAAACTCTGGCAAAGCTTGAAGTTATGCTGTCCAACGGAGGCACCAGCAGCACTTTTCGCAGAGATGGCCGGGAATCCATTATCGAGGACACTTTCTGCAGTCCGTCGCTGGTGGCAAACATGAATTGGAGAGTGTGCGAAGGATAAAACCCATAGTGACCATCAGGCGATCCGATATGGCGATATGGCAAGAACATGCGACCAAAAGTGGAAGACGAAGGCTTTCAACAAGGATCTTTTCGTTGAAGCACTCCGGGTGGACAGGGGCCCCGCGGATCTAAACGCGGACGAGCTGACTGAAACGTTAGTGAGAGCATTTGATACGACCATGCCGAGGAATCTGGAGCCAAATAACAGACGGCGTCCAGCTTACTTGTGGAACGAGGCACCTAGTACCCTCCGCGCTAGTTGTCTCAGAGCCAGAAGACATGTTGAGAGAGCAGAACAGCAGTGGGATTAGAAGTTATTTCTTGTTATATTACAAAAGTTACCAAAATCAGCATCGGTAACCAGTTGGCTACAAAGTTGACATGAATCAGTTAAGACCAAATCAATAGTTGAGGGATTTCTTGCTGAAGAAAAGCATTTTGGGCTGTTTTGATATTGAATAGTGTAATAACCTGCAGAACAATCCTTACCATGGGAATTTCTGTGAGCATTATTCCATGAGCGGTGTTTTTGTTTATAAATCACCAATAATGTAGAATTTAGACCTACGAGGGGTAAGTTTCTGAAGGTCAAAAATTATTTTGCTGGTCTACGCATTGGAATGGCAAATAGGCAGTTATAAATAAAAATGATGATAATTGTTTTGGAAATTGGCTTATTTAAGTTCCCTATTGGTGGAAGTTAATTACTTCATGTTTTCCAGCGCTCCAATCTTATTATACAGAAGTTGTGCATCTAAAAATGTACTTCTATGTTCGCTTTCCTGCTGCAAACACTGAGCATTAATTTATACTTCGAACATTACGTAGATCAAGAATTATGAGCCTGTGAAAATAAGAAGTCGGACAAGAAATCTCGTGTGAAGAGACACCCGGAAATCTTTTCGTTAATCATCTTTGTCAAACTCTTATGTGGGTGTTTGTGAAAATGTTTGAGACATTCTGCTCACTGCAACACACACATACTGATCATGTGTGTTTCCTGTCATAATATTGACAAGCATTGCAAATGCTCATATAAAGACTTATTAGTATTAGCAGTGCCCAATTATAAGCCTTTATTGCAATGCTGTTTGAAGGCTTATTAGCACTAGTAATGGTGAAATAAATCTGATGTAAGGCTTTGTACTAATGCTTATGATTACTTGGGTATACAACTTGGTAGTTTGAATATCTGTTTGTATTGTGTGGAGGGAATTCTCTGGTTCGCAGCCACCAGAGGAAAACTAGAGCTATGTGTAGGTAGCTGACATCCACCACCACGAACAGCGAGCTTATGGCGCGTCTTATGGTCTTACAATACGCATAATACCTACTAATGTTTAGCTGTTACATTGAACTATGAAAAATAAAACGCATTTTTAAACCTCAATAAGATTTTCGTGTCCGAATTTTTTCGTGTTCAACCTTTAAGTGTGCTAGTTTTTGAACCTAGTAGCCTATTAATTTTTATTCTTTCTATTTTGTTAATCTCTACCAAATTTATTTCGATGCTAGGTTAGAACATAGATTTTGGCATATATCTTCGCAAATAAAACCATGCAAATTTATTTAAAATTTAAGTTTGATCCTACACTCAAAAAATTCTACTCTTCATCATCATGTGTCTCACACTTAATTTTGCGCTTATTGTGGAACACATCAATTTCATGTGTGAATCTTATGCTATGAATCATGCCTGAACACTAAGGATTTGAATTGTGACACACTTGAATTATATGTGCCTCATTTGGTGATAAATAGCTTTGCACATTATAGTTCAATATTCTACCATATTCTACTTTATCGACTTTTACTTTGCCGACTCTAAAAATGAATCGACAAATATGTGAACAAAACTGCCAGAGGCCAGAGCATTCACATATCTTTTTAATGGGTCTGATTTGACATTCAATCATGGACTGTTGGGGTGTGCTGCTGCCGGAGTCTTCGTTCGATCCCACTATGCCACGGTTGTTCTCATATATGAGGCGGGTTGATAGGATAAAGTCACAACTCTTGTTTTCGATGTTTACCTCTCTGAGCAAGCAATTCACATCGCATTGAAATGCAAAACACTTTAAATCCATCTGTTTTGAACAGTAGTGTGATTCAATGTGATAGTGAGAGATTTTCAACATTTCAAAGTTTGAAATACTTGAAATTAACGTGTATAACGTGTGGAATTTTTTGAGTGTAGAGCCAAAAACTAGAGCATTAGTGCCATAACTTGCAGACTTATCTTTCACTGGTTTGAAGCGCTTGTCGTTGCGGGTGTTGGTAAATGATAAAAACAGATACAGATTCCCATATAAGTCTTTGCCATTTGAAGTCAATGCAATTATAGATGTCCATTAGACTGATGCAAAATTTTAAATTTTCGCTCCACAGTGTTCAAACGGTTCCAAATCGGGTCCTTATGAGCCTCCGAAAGTTTAAACTCATTTGATAAGAAACTGACTTGGCACAAACCATTTGAAGTTTGTATGGAAATTACTATGGGAAAACAAAACTTTTTGTTCATTGTCTTTTAGCCTTTTCATATATTGTACTGTTAAGAAATTCTATTGCTATTCTTATGGAAATTTTTATCAGCTACAACTTTGCAGAAAATTGTTTGTCAGCCAAACGTCAAATTAAATAGTTATTAATTTCTTAAGAGATTGATAATCTTATGGCAAGAATAAGCAACTATATTGTGGGCAACACTGTATTCTGCAGTGTGACATAGTAGCCATGATTTTTGTCCTCTATTCTACGCGCCATAAACACCAATTTTGCCTGCTGAACAGTTGATTGAGCATAATCATAAGACATCAGTGACTTGAATCATTAATAATTTTTGTTCCTTTTACATTTGATCGAAAAGTGGTTTTCAACAAAGTTGTAGCTAAGAAAATTTTCAACAAGCTTAGTTATCATTTTCTAAAGTAGAGGGAACTGGTGAATTTTAAGATAGATATGAACCGAAATTATGGTTTCTCCATAGTAATTCCCATATAAACTTCAAATGGTTTGTGCCAAGTCAGTTTCTTACTAAATGAGTTCAAATTTTGGAGGCTAAATTTTGCATCAGCCTAATATCCTTTCAAATCAACTCAGTTGATGGGAGGATGATCAGAACCAGATTTGAAATCTATTGCGCTATGGGGAACAAAATGGATAATATGAACCATTCTAAAATACATACTAGGGTGACTAAAGCTTGTATGGGTTTGACCCACCCCAATGCACACTTATTAGATAAAGAATTAAAAATGCTCGTCATCAGTTATTGAGTTTTAACCCACCCTTATGAATCAGAATTTGAATGTGCCATAGCGTGGTACATCTTCCGCCAACTTGCACCCAAGATCAAAAATTAACCACTTATCTTCATCTCTTTATTTGTTTACACCCAGACACGAGTAGCATTAACTGCATTCATTGAATCATTGCATAAATTCGCACCTACATAGGTACATTGAATGAATCGACCAAAATGAACAAAATTGACAATGAACGATGAACACACCATGCTCGCTTCGCACATTCACCTGCTCTGAATGGAGCACCGCATTTTCTTGGTGAGCAACCACCGGCAACCGAATACAACTTGATTGGGCAATGGAAATACTCCAACCGTCCTCAATCCTCGCGATGCACACCAACTAGTGCAAAACACGCCAAAAACTCCACTCAGTTCAATATGCATGAGCAAGCTCATAGTCGAAGCGGCTTACCTCCATCGGGTCATCCAGTTCGATCGCGTGTGGTATCTGGTATGTACAGCACACCCACCTCACCTGTGCTTGTATTTATTGATCTATACTGCGCGGACGGTGCACGACTGGCGCTCAGCTGTGGGAGCTTTTTTTCTTCTTCGGTTTCAGGGAGGGCACAAGCCCTCTCGATCGCTTTCGTGATTCTACAAAATCACCACTTCTTAGTCGTTGATTGTCTGGGCTCGCGCCAACAACGGGTTTGTTTTCCCAAGGAAACACTGAGCAGAGACTTTCGTTTTCGTTTTATCAGCAAGCGTGGAGCAAGTTCTAGTGATTATTTTTTAAGCTTAAAAATGTATCAATTGTTATTGATAGTCCTGGCTGTTCCGAGTGCGACCGTTTGGAGCTATCCCCTAGGGAAGAATGTGTTCGCCACGCAGAACGATGACGGTGCGGAGTTTCGCGACAAGGCGTTCGACGAGGAGTTCCGAAAAGTGACTGTGGTTGGAAGTGCACCTGTAAGTGGACTGAAGTTGTCCCCCGTTACCCTATATGTAAAAGTATTACGTTATTAAGCGCGTTGCCAGTTAAGTCTTTCGCATGAAAAACATGGCCATTCTCGTGTGCAACTAGGTGGAAGGTTGTTGTGATTGCTGTTATGTAAGATATATGAAACAACTGCTAAGTTGTACTTGCTAGGCCGCTAGTGCAGGCGAATTATAAGCATTGCAAGTGAAGTTAAACGAAAGTGCTTGAAATGTTGAAATGTTTGAAGCTAAAATACGATCTTGTGAGGGGGATTAAGCATGTTTTTGTGTTTCTGTTGCATGCTTTATTTCAATGACGATCAGCATGGTGACAAATTGGTGTTGTGAAATAACAGAAATAAAATGTGTTTAATGTGAACAATTTACATTGACCTTGTGTAAAATACATGCTGGATAATTAGCATCGTTTCTTTTGCAATGATTTTGGAATCTTAATGTTGCACGCTTCTCACAAAATGCACTAGTTTGCACTAGATATTTATGATTATTTGTAGGATGCTAGTTTTAGAAGACCACATAACCTTTATCTAGTTCGACGTTAGATTGTTTCGAACATTATTTAGGGATCAGATATGACTAAAATTTTATTTAAAAAATAACTAAGCACTGATACAAAACTGTAGAAAGCATTAGCTAAATGAGTTGTGTGTCCATTAACGGGAAAGCACTATTTACTAGACTGTTGCATTTTTCAGCAATGTTCTCAAACTTCTACCCCCATCCATAATTCACTTTGCTCAATACAGGACCTGACCCAACGCACTTTTTTCACTTTGATCGCTCAATAGCCACTCAATATTCTATATAGTTACCTCGAACATATTTTTCATAGAATTTTTAAGGTCACGATGAACATTCATCATGTCAAAAATGATTTGACTATCGTTTGTTTTGTTCATCAAGTGCCTCAGTTCATTTCATTTCATTTGAAGCAGTCCTGTTTCAATTGACGCAATGAATAACTCGAAAACTGCTTCCTTCGTTTTTTTCCACTTTCACTTCAATTCGGGCTCATTCGACTTGTCACGCATCGTGTCGTCAGGCATCAGATTATAGTATCCCCATAGTATCCACACAATATCGGTTTCCGATAGGCATGGCATCTGGATTGTATGTAATAATAAAGTGTCAAATACCCTACACACAGAGTTTATATTACCGACGTCAGTAAAATTTTACTGGGTTTTTAAACAGCTGAGTTTTCAGTAATCAAGCCACAAGTGTTTTGCCGTTACTGAAAACTCCGTAAATAGCACAAACCGTGAACTGTCAAAAAGTTCCGGTTTAGTCAGTAAAGAACTACTGACTTTTTCAGTAATTTGTTTGTTTACCTTATTATTGCTGAGTTTTTCAGCATTGTTTTTTTTTGTTTTTTTGACGATAAAGTCAGTAAATTATTCAAAACGGCTGATTTATCGGTGAATTAAAATACGATTTCGAGATGACAAAACAACAAATTTTCGGGCTTTTTTTTAGTTTTTATTGTTACTGCATTTATGCAGCAGTGTAGGTATGTAGTAGCAGCGCTCAATTGTTGAGCTATTCCAAGTTAATAAGGAATTTTTCTCCCGTAGTGGTGAGGGTGTTGACTCCCATCATCGTCGCCATTAAAAAGACAAAAAAACTGCTTGTCAGTTGGCTTAATTCCAGCTGTCAAAATCACAATGGATTGGCAGAGCAACTCAAAACTATATGAAAAACCTTTGTTGATGGGGATGGTGATGCCACAGACAAACAGACGTAACTCTTCATTGTGTATCTTCATTCATGCATTTAACGGTTGATTTGAATATTATCAGTTCCGCGAACTACTCGCCGCAGCGCTGGCATCGAATCACTTTGACGTTTCTATATATTCTATAGAACTTTTATGCAATATTGTTTACGAGTTAACGAGCAAGATTGTTTTCCGCGAGAAGCCAGAGAGATGTCGCTACTGAGGTTATATGTTTTGAGATACTATGTTTTCAAGAACAAGTTTTTCAAAGAGTTACGTCTGTTTGTCTGTGGTGATGCCTTTCCATGAAATTACTGCATCAGAGTTGTCCTCCGGAAAATTTCCTCTCATGTAGAGTATGGGGTTGTCGCTTTTGACGATCGGGATCGGTTCATCATGCTGGAAAAAATGGGAAAAATATAAAATTAGGTAGGTACTTCATAATTGAGTAAAGCCATAGAAATGGAACAAAATCCAGTAACAATGAGAACATTTTTGAAAACACAAATGTAAATAGTTACCTGGATCCATTCAACGATGCCACTTAGTGGATTGTTGTCATCAGTGCCATTTCTTGTTCGCTTCATTCCACGACTTGGATTTTTCAGACGCATAATCCCAAGTGTTCTGAGAGTAACTATAAATAGTTTTCAATTTAATTAAATTAATAAAAAACGTTCGATTATCATTACCGCTTTGAACATGCTTCAGTATAGCTGAGTAAGTCTTCAAAACCCTGGTTTGTAAATCCTCAAATTTTCGCCAAAAATCTGGAGCATTAGGTTAGAGCCGTTGAAAATCAAGCTTAAGCTAGAAACAATAAAGTCAATAATCATCAAGATACAACTATTTTTAGAACCATAATCTCACTAATTTTCCATCAAAACAAGTTGACACCGGTAATTCCAGCAGATATGTGTTAAGCTCTCCTGATTGACGGAATCGATCGCGTTCGTTAAATGTCTTCACCCACAACTCCTCAGCACGTGCTTGTGTTCTAGGATTGGGACACATGAACTTCAATTCACCAATCTGAAACAAATAATGTGTAAAAATTAAAAAATTAAAGCAGAAAGAGCCATGACGTGTCTAAAAAACGTTACTATCACTGAGAAACAGATTATAGACACACTTATTTCTATATTTCAGTATAAAAAAAAACTGGTTATTAAACTCGAAAAACCCTTGCCTGAACACCAATACTGAAATTTAACTCACATCGTCCCAGTTTCTATGCAATTTTTATATGAAAGACTATTTAATGCTGAAATGTTGAAAGCTCTCAGTTCCATGCAAATGAAGAAGATAAACTGAACCAGAACATTACTCACAGTGTCTCATCTGTTTTTTTTTTCTGTGTAGCTAGTAACGATAAATAAGATACAAAAAATTACCAATTCTTCAACGTTCTCAGCAGGATCCTCACTGTCCATCGTGTTAGAAGATTCAATTTTGATTGCCTTCTCATCCGTGGATTTGCTGCGGATAATCTTTCTATCTGTGGATTTACGAATGAGATACTCAAGATGATAATGTATCCTGCCAGTATGTCTATGTTGGCCTCGAGCATGTTGGTGAAACCACAGTGCTTGAGGTACATCGGCATTGCTTGATCGCAAAATCGGGAAAGTTTCCACGAGTGATAAGGCGATGAGATTTTTTTGAAATGCTGAAGGACGCCTGGAAAAGTAAAAATTGATTAAGCATAAGAACAATGGAACTTAACAGCTTGAACTTACGGCCCATACGTTGATCTGAGGAAATCGCACAACACATTTTTTATTTTCGTCAAAACCTTGTCGTTAGGCTTACTTCCTTGCTTCAAGGACTCCATTATTTGTTGACCCTGGTCTGTTCTTCTGAAGACACGATTGATGTTGATTACCTGAGTGATTTTTTATTGAATCAAAGGATTAAAATTAAAAAATGTTTAAAATTAGTGCACTTATCCTACTAGTGGACAGTGAAAAAAATGCTTGGAAAATATCTGGAGTCTCAAGGGCCACGCAAATTGCATCCGTTTGCGTTGTGTTGGCGTTAATTATTAAAAATTAAAATTGCGTGAAATTATTAAAATTTACTTACTTTCTCAAGTCGGATGCCGTGATACGGATTTTCTTCAATGCTATCAACACAATCCTCGTCAGTGTCCTGATCGTCTACCTCTGCATTTTCATTTCGATAGCTTTCATCTTCAGGATCCAGTCGTTCCACAATAAATTCTTCAACTGTGAGTCCACTTGAAATCTCCCTCTGGATGCGTTGGATGCATTTGATTAACTTCGTCTTCATCTGCAGTCGTGAAAAATCTTGTTCATTCAACTCCATGAACGTCTCCAAATCGTCAATGCCTTCGGACACTGAAATGTGCAAGAAAATAAAATATTAGGAAAAGATTGCAAAAAAACCTAACTTTTGAAATATTATGTTAGCCGCAGACGAATTCCTAAAAATAACTGAAATTGGATGGTTCGAATGGTTGCACTCCCATCTGGTGGTGATACAAAATTGATCAGCTCCAACGACAAATCCACATTCGACCCGTAATTTCTTTTCACCTGAAACTCTATTTGGTCCACCTTGCGCCTAAGCTTACTCTTCTAAGAAATCTTCCGAACTGAATGTATTGAAACTTGATTCAATGAAAATATGTATGGTTTAAAACAAAGTGCAAGCTTTCTCTGTGATATTCTTGTTATCAACATTTTAACTTCAATTGACGAACTGCCCAAACTCACCCACGCAAACAAACACCATCATCAGGTAGGGAAATCTTTCCCCTACTAGCTGGTGTTGTTTGTTTCTGTGAGTGACCTAGCAGTTGACACAAATCGTCGATTGAAGTGATTGTTTGCAAAATCAGATACGTCGATTTGAATAGTTAGGCTTCAAGTATTTTCTTCACTTTTTGCACTTGCAGTTACTCACGTTGTCTGCTCACTTACTTTTTGGTTTGCTTCCATGATTGGTTGATTCTGATGTTCCAAAGGTCTTCTGCGGTCTTGCTCTCTGACTGCCTTTACAATCCGGATACTGGGGATACTGTATAACATAAACTGCTGCTGCCTGGGGAGACGTGCTGTCAAATCAGCCTACTGATCATTCTTGTATCAAACTGATTCCATACGTAAACAAACGCTGTAGGTTTCTTATGGCTTGTTTACGTTTGGAACCAGTTATGTGAGGTAGGCGACGATTGTTCGTACTTGACAGTCACTGATATTTCAAGCTGAACAGTGCATTAGGTCCTAAG